TGTTTGGGGTGGAAGGAAGGCTATTAAATCCAATAAAAATATTCCATGAAAACAGCCAGGCAACAGTAAGAATAAATGGGGAAGAAAGTGAAACACTTGAAATAAATGTGGGTGTTAGACAGGGACGCATTATGTCCCGGTGGTTGTTAAATATAGACATGGATGTGAACTATTATACACTGATGAATGTGGTGGTGATAAGCTTTCTTACAGGGCTGCACAAATCTCAAATCCTGATTATAAGGGAGCCAAGTTGCCACTGTTCAATATAACTGGTGACTGCTTCTGTTTATGGTTGGGCTCTGAAACTCTAATTCTAATTTGTTCAGATCATGTATTACGTATATGGGCCCATCCCTCTTTCTCTCTCTGCAACTGTACTTCAGTGATTTCTTTTAAAACTTTCAATTATAAAAGTAGAATAGTTTTTCCATGCATTAAGATGAACTAAAACATAGTTTTTGCCTTTAAGCATGAAGGATGAGTTTGGACGACTGATCAAAGCTTGTGTTTTTCAAATTTGGCCTTTGCAGTGATTTTTTGATATGGAAGAGTATAAATGATTGCTAAATCATCCTGAATGTAATGCTTATGATCAATAGCATATTAAAGAGTTATTAAAAGGGCTAAAAATACCTCAAACTTATTAAAACCAACATAGTAACATAATTTTTTTTTAAAGAAAAACCAATGGTCTTTGCTAACCATGACTTTTGGTAACCTATTAATAAAGATGTAAAATAAGAAGCATTAATTTTTTTCATTTTTGTTAACCTAATTATACAGCTATAAAATTCTCATAAGGTGAAGTGAGCTGAGGTGAAGATACTTGAGGTGGAGCTGAGTGGGATGGATATACTAGATGATCCTTAAAAACACTACAGCACAAGGCTCATAAAAACAGGACAGGCCAGTATATATATTCCCACCAGAGGCTAGGAGTCTACTGACCTTGGGAAACATTAATATAAAAATTGGGAACTTTTGTCCTTCTTTGCACCTTAACTGGGGTGTTTTGTCCAGCACTCATACATCCAACCATTGACATAATAAACATGTACATTTGATGGTACACAAAATTTTCATGACTGGGTATAAGTTATATTTTCCTATACTTGTATGTTCAAAGATGAAAAAAAAATTCTTTAATTGCCCCCTATGCTCTTTCAAATGATGCTTGTGAAATTATTGAACATGTCAAATAAATTAATAACATGTTCAATAAACTCTACTGCATGAAGAGCTGTTGCTGGTAGTTCACCTAATGGGATAAAATTCCAATAGCAAAAATTCTGGAGAGGATTTGTGTAGCCAGATTTACTCTCCTGTCTGAGAAACCCTGATGGTAAAAGTGCTGGGCTCAAGTGTATTAAAATAAAGTTGTAACAAGTTATATAATTTCTTTTAACTGTAAATAATGAAGTAAACAAAATTAGGTAAGAAATCAAAATGTTATATACATCATTGACACTTCTTACAAATAAAAGTACTCTAAACAGTAATATACTAACATGGTATAATTTGGTAGCCACACTATGTCACTAAACTTGCAAAGAAAACATTTTAACATTCACTTACCTTTATCTACAGTGTGTGTATGGTGGCAGTTATAGCTTGGCTTGCTTGGACAAACTTCTGTGTCCATCAGCATATCTGGGGCACTCCTATCCATCTTATTTTGAACACTTGTAATTTAAGTCATTATTGTACATCAACTGAAAAAGAAAATGAAAATACCTGTAAATCATAGAAAATATTTAAAGTTGGTCTTAAGAATTTACTGTGTACATAAACTTTAGTAATGTAATTCTAAGTACAATAACATTAATGTATGATCTGTTTCTTAAAATCATCGTCATCATCATCTATGAGTTTTAAAGTGATGGTAGGTTCATGAACGGGGCCTAATTTATGGCATACCAATACAGCCTTGAACAACTCAAAATGAAAATGTACAAATCATACTAGCTACAGTATGTACAGTACACTTTAACAATCATACTAGCTACAGTATAAACAGTACACTTTAACAATCATACTAGCTACAGTATAAACAGTACACTTTAACAATCATACTAGCTACAGTATATACAGTACACTTTAACAGTCATACTAGCTACAGTATATACAGTACACTTTAACAAATAATCAACACAAATGTACCTATACAGTATGTTCTCAATAATATGCTTCAGAAGAACTTGTTTGAAGGATTCTAAATTTACTGGTGTAAGGATCTGAAAAGTTAAAAAGTTCAATGATCGTCAACAGAAAACACCTGCAAATTGATTATACAGTAAACCCTCGATAACTTGGCATTTGATAACTCGGAATTTCATATAACTTGGCATGGATATGGTCTCGGAATGTATTAGTATAACTCGGGAAATGCCGAGATAAATAAAATTATCTGGGAAAATCTAAGCATATCTTGTCACCTGCATCACCTACCATGCCGGTGTCACCTACCATACCTCTGTGTCACCTACCATACCTCTATGTCACCTACCATGCCTCTATGTCACCTACTACGATACTTCATTCTTCGCCTGCAGTGCTGGCAAGTGTTACTTTTTTTACATTTAGTAATTACATGCACACATGTATGGATCGATAATTTTTTATTGTTGTATTTTTGTATGATGGTTTATGGCATTGCCAACATAATATTTTGTAATAAAAGATGTATATAACTGTCTACTGCTCCATTTTACACATGTATTACACTCCAGAATTTCCATAATAACACTTTTGCATAAATCATTAGGTTTTCCCTATAAATACTTAATTTTCACAACAAATAATATAACACTAACACTCATTAATACACAGTAAAGAAATTAATGTGCCATATTCAGTAAATACACTTGGACATGAAATTAAAAATTAGTGTAAATTGTACTGCAAATTTAATTTTTTCATGGGTAATTAAACATTCGTAAAGAACCAGCCCAAAATTTACTGCGGCTCTCAGGGGGTTAAAGAAAAAATATTCCTGACAGAAAATAATTAGTGTACTGTATAATATATGAACTGTAGATTTATTACCTTCCAAATTATGAAGAATATGACCATTAGGTACTGGTCACGGACAAAATGGTCACTGCGTATATGTGTGGAATATTGCTGGCGGAAAGTTTAATCCTTATGACAAGCAATGTTCAAGCACCTCAACCAAACCAAGAACCTAGAAATAAGACAAATAAATCAGTATTTTGAATACCAACTATGATATAAAAAATAGTTTAGTATTTTATTAAAAGTATTAAATGAACTACAGTACACACACTACTCTGGCCTACTAAAAAAAAGAATAATTACAAATAGATAGCCAAGCATATTTTAAATAGGAACTGCAAAGGGGAATAAAAAATATAATAAACAGTAACTAAAGGTAAAGGTGAACAACATAGTTAGCAGTAGAAAAATCTTATGGTTTTAACTACATTTCTGGAGATACTAAATGCACGATACTTAACATAAAAATGGAAATACAGTTAACATGCACAGAACCTAACTTAAAATTACCTAACTTCTTGTCTGTCAGTTCTCTGCCTCATTTTGAACACTTGCACATCCTGCCATGTTGACAGATGAACTCTTGAAGACAGACTTCCTCCTCCACCATCAGAGATAACTTGTGAAATGATAAAGAACAACCCGCACAGGGCCTGAGAACTATGTAGTTAGTGTCAAGATGGAGAGCTTGTCTGTCTCTCTGAGTCTGTCCCCTTGTGGAAGAACAAAAAGTGCAGAGACATACAGTTCACTTAGAAACCAATTATAATCCAAAGAAATTGGGGATATGTATCCAAACCTTTAAAATGGGACTCGAATCCAATTACATGCAGTATTGTATAGGATTCTCATCATTTAAATGCAGAATAGGTTTAAGAACCTATTCTGCCAAAAAGAAAAACAAAATCAAAGGGATTTGCACCGACAGAACAGAAAAGAATCAGGAAAATGAAACTTACAACATGAAAAAATGAAGAAAAAAAGACAATGAAGCCATTATTTATGGTAATAAAACCTGAGATGTGATGCACCATTGTTTATTTTAAAGATAACCAATAACGGATTCAAAATTTATTAGTTTAACAATGGCCATAAACACGCGGCACCATAAGAGAATTATCGACAGTAATCTCTTCGCTTACAAAACACGTAGCGACCTGGGTTAAGATGCAGTAAAGGTTGACAATGGAACTTCGTATTTATATAGGGGGATTTACTGATTTCACACAGGAACTTACATTTTGGCAGGAGACACTGTTCACAATTTTACATCTGACTCACACGAGCATGTTCCACCAATCACCGTGAGTCTCGGTGTCATGTGACTCTGTCCCACCAATCAGCATTGCTCTCAGTGTCATGTGATACTCCTGCACATCCTCTGAGTTTTGAATTTTAGTTGGCTAGTCGCAAAATGGCTTCTCTCTGAACGGGTGTTCTCACTAAGCTTGGCAAATCATTCATTGCGTATTTGAAAATGGAGCTACAGTACTTCCATTGACTTTGTAAGGCTCATGGTATTCTGCCAACCTCTGTGAAGTGCTATAGGCATTCATGCACAAAATATAGAAAGATTGTGTAAGGATATCATGTGTTGGTGTTTTGTGCCAACAATTAAAAGGAACATTACTGACAATATTTCACTCTGTACATGTTTCAAGCCAAACACTGTACAGTACAATGATCACAAGACTATACTCCTACAAATAGCATCATTTTATCCTCTAGCAGTCTCCTGGCTAGAAGGCTAGGTCAGGTTCTTCTGGTTTCTCTGATTAGGAGGTTTCGTTTTGATTTTTTTTGCATGTTTTTGCCCCACAATTCCCTCGAGTTCAAAGCCCTGGCCACTGTGTGCAACCAATATTATTGGTACTTGGGGGGCGAAATCTCCATAATGGCTCATTTCCAATGCAAATGAAGGACAGATTAACTTGAAACACCACAAAATACACTAAAAAACTTATTTTTGTTAATACAGGTACAGTAGTTTCTGTGGTCGACCTTTTCCAAATCTTTACAGAGACCTGAAATGACTGCCAAATGCTCACTCTTTTTCTGCTTTCTACCCCCACAATTTCCCTATCTTTCATGGTCTGCCCACTACAGGTTATTTACTTTTATTTTACTTTACTTTTATCCTCTTCACCACGGATCGGCTCGTTAGCTTCTTGGGTGATCAGTTACGTCTCTGTTTCGCACTGTTGGCAAGTACTGGGCATGCACCGGCTCCTGAATGTATCTGAACCTGCTCCAGTGTTGGTCAAGTCTGGTCTTGAAAGAGCTCACACTCAGTGCCATCACAACACTCTCTGACAGTTTGTTTTAAGAGTTCACAACTGTTACTCCAGAAAAGTTACCCCTCACACTTTTCTGGGCTTGCGGCTTCTTCAAACTTGAGCCATGACCCCTTGTGGGGCGAGCGTCCGCCAGCTCCAGGTAAGGACACTCGACTGAGAAGTGCCCCTTGAGATGTTTATACACCTCAATTCAGTCTCCCCTTGTCCGTCTTTACTATAAGCTAGACAATTTCAGGCACTCTAATCTCTCAGGGTAGGTGAGGTGCCGAAGAGCAGGCACCAGTCTGGTGGCCCTCCTTTGGACATTTTCAATCAACTGACAGTCCCTAGCATATCTCGGGGACCAAACGGGGTGACAGTACTCCAGACAGGGAAGCGCTTCACTCTTGAAGATCGTTACGAGGGACAGACAGTCTAGATATCTGAACGACCTTCTTATAAGACTTAATAATTTAGTTGCCTCATTTACCTTCTTCTCGCTGTGGCCCGAGAACTTCAGCTCATTGTCAACGTACACGCCTAGGTCCTTCTCACATGCAGTCTCGATTAATGCAGTTTCTTCGTCCCGTTGGGACATATGATATGCTTCCCAGGGGGAGCCTCTTACACTTCGTGACATTGAATCTCAGCAGCCATTTCTTCGACCATTCTTGAGGTTCACAGAGATCCTTCTGCAGCTCTTCACAGTTTGCTTGGTTCTTAATTTCCCGAAATAACTTGGTTTCATCAGCAAACATTTGCATGGAGGAGAGTACAACGTCAGGCATGTCATTTACGAAGCAAACAAACAACCCCGCTTGTGACGGTTACACATTGATGATTTCGTGCCATTAATCACCACATATATTGCTTGCGGTCATGGAGAAAGTCTCCAATCCACGTTAGGTCATTTCCCCTAATCCCATACCCTTCCAGTTTAATTTTCAACCTTTCATGGGGTACACTGTCGAAAGCCTTGGAAGAATCTAGGTAAATATTGTCGATATTACCACCCTGTTCCAGAATATGGGTCCAAATATCTAGTACCGTAAGTACTCGTGTTAAGCAGGAGCGCCCCGGCATAATTGTATATAGAGAAAAAATATAAAATAAAAATTAAGGAAAAAGTTGTATCATTTTTATTAGTTACGATCACCCATACAATAACTGTGTAAAATATGAACAAATTATAAAATGTAGTGGATACAGGTACAGCAGGTGTAGGTAAAACAATCACACAGGATATTGGTAAGGCAGCTGTATTGACTGACGAGTAAGCAAGAAGGATATCAAAATAGGTTAGCTTTAAAGGATATCAAAATAGTTTAGGTTAAAAGGATATTACAATAGGTTAGGTTAAGTCTGGTTTGGTTAGGATAGGTTGATCAGAAAGAAGGCCATCTTAGTCACTATCATTGTTTAGTCTGCCCACCACACATGCGCATTAGGCTGCCGTACCAATAGACATCGACGTTTTGCACACAGCTACCGTACCTGTATCCTGTGCCATAACAACACCTTCGGGTACTAACCATCTCCTCCACTTTTACCCTATAACTTAACTAGTTATGGCTCAAAAGAGATAAGTTTTCTCATCATGGAAATTTAATATTACTGTACTCATAAAAATTAAATAGCATACTGGATAATTATTTGGAAGGTGACCATCCGCTGTTTTACATTGAAAATAGGGTTAAAAATACCCAGTTTTTACTCATTTTATTAAAGGATGCTGTATTATGTTAGGAAAAAATATAAATACTGTAGTTGAAATCATGTGCAAACCTAACCTCTATCTTAACTTGGCTATATCTAGAAGACTAAGCACTTACACAATGAATACAACTGAAAGTAATCAGCGTACAAAACCATATCTAAGAACACCCTCATAATTACCAAACCTCTGATGGCCAAGATACATTGTTCACATCTACCCCGACAGTAATTATTGACAACTGACCCGTCGCCGACTTTTTCATTGAAACAGATTTTTAAAATGCTGAAACTATACTGTGTTAAATTATGATGAACATTTGTAGTTTTGGCAAATGCGTTAAAAAGTGGTTATTTCTAAATTAAACCTAACCTAACCTTAGTTGATAAGAAAAAAAAGTGGCTTCTGGTAGCATTGTTATAAGAGCTTACCAGCCTAACCAAAGAAACCTACCTAACTTCCTGGCTGTTAGGCGCCCCTGGCATATTAAGCAGAAAGAACTTACTATGAAATGGTGTAATTTTAATTTTTTTCATGGACAAGAGAGCAGCCACCCATCACAAGTGGCTCATAGACGTACAATGAGCCACCTGAGCAAGATGAAGTACTGTAGTGCAGTTAATGCGCGCCCAGGTGCCTAATTATCTATCAAACGAACCATTTTCAAATTAAATGATTATCATATCAGAATTTACCGATGAAAATGTTTTAAGAAAATTAACATCAAAACAATTAACGCATCGGTGGGTTAGTCATCAATATTAGCCAAAAGGGGGTAAATTTGCATTGTCACACCATTCACTTTTAGCAAGTAAAAAAATATAATTTTCTAGTGTATTTGTGTGTGTTTAGACCGAATATGACATTCATTTTTCGCAGAAATTAGCCTTTTTTTTGCGATTTTTTTTCGCTTGACGTTTTCCGAAAAAAAAGTGGCTAAGCAACTAAAAAATAAAAAAAAAACACTAGAAAAACAAAAACCTAACCTAACTTAACTGACTCACCATATGATGGAATCACCTATTTCTTACCTTATTGACCTGGTTCTTGTTCGTCGTTGGATTCTGGGATTCTTACCCAACGCCACACATGTTGGTCTTTGCGATATTTACATTCAGTCTTGCTCTTAGTACACTTTACTGAGGAGGGAAGAACACCACGCGATTGAAAAAATGCTATAGTTAACACGTTTTTTTTCTCCGACAACTCGCAATCAGCTCCATATCCTTTACAGTAAGTGACACCCATTGCAGACTTCCATGGTCGGAACTGAACTTGAATTTCAAAATATGAGACCCAAAATAAAACGAGAGAGAGACGCAATGTTGGGTGGGAGGCAGACGCTAATGGCTGGAGGTTAATGTAAGGAAATAAAAATTTTTTTGGAAAAGCTATCTCCGTTATTATACATTTCCGCAGGTAATGTAATAGATGAAAATTATCTTATAATTAGACGTCTTACTCGAATATGATAATAGATTAGTGGTAGGAATGAACGGTGTGTAAATGCAATAATACCCAAAAGGGACTAGAAGTGAAGGTAATCATCATACAAAACTATAAACAGTTTCCATAATTACCTAACCGCTGATGGCCACCAGTCACATATTAGCTGCATATTGCATTGACCCAAAACACTAGACTAAAAATTACATACGTATTTATGCTTTACTTTATCTTCTTCGCCACTGACCAGCTCATTAGCCACATGGATGGTCGGTCATGTCTGTTACACACTGTTGGCAAGTACTGGCTCCTAGAAGTATCTAAACCTATGCCAGTGTTGGTCAAATCTGGTCATTACAACAGCTTAAAACTCTTATTTAATAATAATTCACTTCAGTTTTTCTTACCTTTTGGAAAATTGTGGAATTTAAGGTCGCGGCAGTTAATTTTCACTCACCTGCATACAGTACTTTTCTTCTATGGGGGTCATTGTCAGTTATGGTAATGGAAGGTTTGAGGTCTCGCGTACAGTACTTGTCAAATTTGTAAACCGAGCCAAGCCTCCTAGGGTCATGCAGAGTTGCCAAAATACCGCATTACCACACGTTTTCTTTATAGGCAGATGTGACTAGAGGAAATGGGTTTCCTTGAGTAACTATTTCAATTTGAGTTTTGGTATAGTCGTAGGATGAAACAAGTTGGATACACATTATTAATTTATTATTATTATACATGAAGCGTACAGCCTTGATGAATATTACAAATACAAACAAAATAGTTATTGATATCAGATATATAATAATACATATGTACAACTGAAAATAAATCTATACTGTAAAAATTTATCCTCTTCGCCACTGAACGGCTTGTTAGCCACTTGGGCGATCGGTCACGTCTCTGTCACGCACTGTTGGGAAATACCGGGCATGCACCGGCTCCTGGATGTACCTGAACCCGCTCCAGTGTTGGTTAAGTCTTGTCTTGAAAGAGCTCACACTCGGTGCCGTCACAACACTCTCTGGTAGATTGTTCCAAGAGTTCACAGCTCTCACTCCGAAAAAGTTTGCCCTCACGGTTTTCTGGACTTGCGGCTTCTTCAATCTTGAGCTGTGACCCCTTGTGGGGCGAGCGTCCGCCAGCTCCAAGTAAGGACACTCAACTGAGTAGTGCCCCCTGAGATGCTTATGCACCTCAACTAGGTCCCCCCTTGCCCGTCTGTAGCATAAGTTAGGCAAGTTCAGGCGCTCCAATCTCTCAGGGTAGCTGAGGTGCCGAAGTGCAGGCACCAGTCTGGTGGCCTTCCTTTGAACATTTTCAACCAACTGACAGTCCCTAGCATATCTCGGGGACCAGACGGGGTGACAGTACTCCAGATGGGGAAGCACTTCACTCCTGAAGATTGTTACGAGGGACGGACCGTCTAGATATCTGAACGACCTTCTTATAAGACCCAATAATTTATTTGCCTGATTTACCTTCTTCTCGCAATGGCCCGAGAACCCAGCTCATTGGGTCAACATACACACCTAGGTCCTTCACACACAGTCTCAACTAGTGCAAGCTTCTTTCATCCTGTTGGGGACAACATGATACGCCTCTACCGTTGGCACGCCCCAGGCGCATCCTTCACACTCGTGACATTGAATCTGCAGCCATTTCTTCGGACCATTCCTGGAGCCCGAAGGTCCTTCCGGCAGTTCTTTCACAATTCGCTTCTTCTTGGTTTTACTTTCGAATAATCTTAAGCGTCATCGGCAAACATTTACGGGAGTGGGGAGTGTACAACGTCAGGCATGTCATTTATGAAACAAACAAACAACAGCGGGCCCAATACACTGCCCTGTGGTACCCCACTTGTGACAGGTACAGATGACGATTTCGTGCCATTAATCACCACACACTGCTTGCGGTTTCACAAATCTTATCATATCCTGCATAGGTTGAAATTTCACACATTCCCTCTGGCTTTTACTGCCTCGGAAACATGAACCAAAGCTACTTGTGTTGAATTTGTAGTTTGTTTCTTTGCTTAGTTTTAACGTGACCCACCTTTTAAAACATCCTCCCCGCGTCTGCATTGGAAGTTGGAAGGGCCAGCAGATCAAGGACAAATTGTGGAAATACGGAAAATGCTGGTTCATCATCCTCATTTTTCCAGTTTACGTAATCCCATGAAAAATGTTTCGGTGTTGTTTGTTTGATATCATCTGGGAGAGACATGTTGTGCAAATGCCGCCATTCATCATCTAGTGCCTGGAGATCCCCATTATAAATTTGCGGTACTTCCATGGCTAAGCTTACGAAAGATGGGGTTACCATCAAGGCATTGTTGATTAGGCACTTTATAACTGATAGCTCTGTACAAAGCTGCAATAACTTATTATCGAAAGAAAATGTGGCCTTCATTTGTTGACAGGCTGTTATGAGGAATAATCGACATCTTGATCTGACATCTTTCAGTTGGTCTTTAATGCCTGCAAATTCAGATGTCTGAAGAAGTATATGCACACCAGCCCCAAGACATAGTGGGTCATCTGGTAGGTGGTCCTCTACTTTATTGGGTTCAATTGAATTTTTGTCATGTCTATTTAGGCGGTCGTGTCTATAAAAACATCTCAGGTCGCAAGTGTAACTTCAGCTCTGCCTACCATGCGTCACCAACCTCAGGAGAGTCCATTTCCTGGTCCATTTCTTCCAGCCTCTCAACATTTCTGTTGTGCATTTGTGAGAGTTTATGCCGTTTCAGAGCTGATGTTTCGGCGGACAAATCTGCACAGCATAAACGGCAGCACGCTTTATTGGCGTTGCCCTCGACCCTCCTGTGTCAATCCTTGAATTCCTCATAGTGAAGCCACGCAGCCCTAAATGTTCCCTTTGGCGGCATTGTTTACTAAGTTTTTTGCAACAAAGTAAATGGGTTAAAAGAGAAACTTAGGGAGAGAGGGGAACAAAGAGAGCATGAAGAGTCCAAGTGGTGTGAAATTAAACCAAAAGGAGGGGACTTACTTATTGTCGGGTGTATCTACAGATCCCCAAACTGTGGCCCACTAAATTATAGGAACGTAAGAGCCTCAACAACGCGGCGATGCTCAACCCTCGCCACCTCCTTATCATGGAGGACTTTAACGATGGTGACATCGACTGGAGAGACGAGTTCACCCCAAATGACTTGAATAACCCTGCTACTCTTTTTGTAGAAACTCTCGGAGAAAATTTTCTGTTCCAACATGTTAGAGACCCGACACATTACAGGAGGGAGCAAACACCCAAGCCACTAGACCTCATCATAACGAGGAGGGTATGGTGGCCAAACTGGAACACCTTGCCCCAGTTGGCACCAGTCACCATATAGTGTTATCATTCAGATTTAACTGTTACCTAGTTCAAGATAAGGCCAGGCCAAGGTGCAAATATTACAAGGGAAATTACAACGGGGTGAGGGAAGAGATGAGGGGTATCCACTGGCCTGACTCCTTAAGGCACAAGAACGCAGACACTACGCTGATTATCATAACTAGTAAAGTGACCCATTTGATCGATAAATATATACCCAAGACCAAACCCAGTGCGGTCGGCAAAGTTAAGAAGAAAGCCCAGAAATTCAAGACGTGGGTTGGGTTCAAACGATGAGCAGGACAGGAGGATGCATGCAAGAGCCAGAAACCAAGCAAAGATAGAATGTAGAAGGGCTGAAAAGGAGTTCCAAAGGCTGGTTGCAAGCGAGGTTGTGGGGTTTTTGATGTTTGGTTCACACTCAGGATGGAATGGAGAAAGGAAACTCCCAATGTGCTCTCTATATACATGTTGTATTGGATGTACAATGCAGCTTGGTACTGGGAAGGTAGCATGGTTACAAGCGTGATGTAGAGAGCCGGCTATGAGGGATGTTCAGAGGAGCGACCCAGCTGGTACGCCAAGCTTCCTGCCAGTGGAGCGAGGACCGCCAGGCAGGCGGAGGAGAAGCGAGAGCCGCCAGGCAGCGGCGGAGGAGGCGGTGTTGCGTGTTCAGGAAGAGAGGCCAGAATGAATCTCAATGGAGAGACAGAGCTTATATACACAGCAGCCGTGAGTCAGCCGTGAGTCATGGTGGGAAATCCCGGGAAGTAGCCGGTCTTTTGCCTCCGTTGCTAGGATACTGTGGCATCTGGTGACACCCCCCCCTGGGCCGCTCGTTTGGTTGCTAGGGAAGACGTAGCAGGTGGCTTGTGGCTACGCAGTTGTAGGGGAGACGTCCACTACAATACTCCCCCTTCCCTCCAGGCGGTGTAGGAGACTTGTTGTCTGTAGAGTTGCTTAGCACATGTGAGGCAGAACGGGCGGTGCATGCCTCATGTGAGACAACGGCGATGGCGTGAATGAGCCGGTCGCTGGATACAACTGTCAATATACACACTATCTGTGGGAGGAGAGAGGGAGAAAAGGGTGTGTGTAGGCGATGAATGTTGTGCTTCCCTCACGGCAGGTACAGAGTCGTCAGATGCGCCTGCTGGGGTGTGTGGGCCTGGGTCAGGAGCAGGGGCTGCGTCAGCAGAAGCGGTGAGGGCTCGTGACAGCAGCTGGGTCCACGACAGCAGCAGGGTGCAAGACATTGGCAGGGAGTACCTGAGGGAGAAAAGAGGGGTGTGTGGGTCTGCACTCAGGAACAGAGGCCGCGTCAGGGGCGGCAGGGGTTACTGCTGGGCCGGGGTCGGCGTCTGAGGCAGGACGGGTATGCTAGGGTCGGTAGGATGTGGTGCTTGGGGCAGGAAGAGGAGCTGGTGTCTGCTTAGAGTAGCAGTACTGCTTCTGTGTGGATAAGCCAGTCTTCTATGCTGCTTGAAGACTGGGAGCGTGATCAGTTTCTCCTCCATCCTGTGTGAGTGCGAATCTCCGGGGGTCACCATTTGTAGGGTTTCGTGATATAATGTTGTCTAGCACTCAGGATGGATGGAAACTCTAAGGTGGTTTTCTTGTATAATATAAGTTATATGATAGACAGTCTGGTGCTGGAGGTGCCGTGTGGTGAGGAGCTGCTCAGTAGGCACGTTCGGTGAGTAGCGTGTTGAAGGAGGTAGAGGTGCAGGAGCTTCGTTAGAGAAGATGTTGCCTGTTGCTGGCCTCCAGGTTGAATGAGAACGGGACAGCGAGGAGCTTGCTTGGAGGAGG